AAGGAGCATAACTCTAGAACGGTAAAAATGACGTCTCCAAAATTCAAACTTGATCTGTGTTTTGTGGTACTAAGCATTGTGCATAGGTTTCATAACATTTGGTTGAAGCAAACTAAAGTTAGAGAACGGGAACGAAAAATTCAGCATTTTTTCCATTTGTAAAGGGGAATAACTCTAGAACGTTAAAAGTGACGCCACCCAATTCCAACTTGATATGTGTTTTGTGGTAATAAGCATTGTGTACTAGTATAAGTTTCATAACATTTAGTTCAGGCAAACTGAAACCAATTTTGGGACGTACGGATGGACGTACAGACGCATAAGGGTAAGACTTAATGACCCTTAGTTACGACGGGGGCACAAAAATTATTAATACCAGACGACGGACAATAATGGAAGGGGGGGGGCACTTTTAGACTTTTTGCAATGTGTTTCTAGGGTCTAGTTCTGGCCAAGTGCTTATTCTAATCAATATAGATATACCTTTTCATCATATAAAGGCCTATGTGGGGTACTCCTGGGGTAGACCAGGCATGTAAACAAGAGGCTCTCAAGAGCCTGAATCGCTCACCTGTATTTCAGAGGAGAAGATTTTTAAATGTTAGGAAACTTGATGAACAAATTGTGTAAAATTGTCTTTAAAGGGCAATAACTCCTTAAGGGGTTAATTGACAATTTTGGTCATATTAACTTTTTTGTAGATCTTACTTTGCTGAACATTATTGCTGCTTACAGTTTATATATATCTATAATAATATTCAAAATAATAACAAATAAATTGCTTCACTGAGCGCAGCTGGATACGACCGCAGATGTCCAACCCTGAAAAGTTGGGCCAAAATGGACACAATATTCACGCTTGATACAGGTCTGAATTTGGATTGTAACTAAATTCTTGACACATAATAGGTTTCTGAAACAGAATAACTGTAGTCAAAGAACTTCAAATTGGTTATATGATTTGAATTTATATTCAATTTATTGCTTTTGTGCAATACACTATGCTGTTGCGAATTGAACCCCCCCCCCCCCCCCCTTTTACCAATTTTTTTTTATTTTACACGGGTTTTTTGCTTTTGTGCAATACACTATGCTGTTGAATATTAACCCCCCAAAAAAAATATTTGAAGAAATTTTCTTTTAATTTCTGAAATCTGAAATGAGAAAAATTATCCCCCCTCCAATTTTTTTCACCTCCCCCCTTTCCCTTATTCCCCAAAAAAAATCTTTCCCTCAAGATATGGTCAGTATCTCAATTCAAATCTCTAATGCAGTTTGCAACCAAAATTACCCATTTAAATACTTCATAAAAGTTTTAAAATATAAAATGACATACATAGTCATGGCTAAAATTAATATTAATTAATAGTAACTGCTAAAAATAAATTGACAGCTACTCACCCCAAGACAATCATAATTTCTTAATACATAATTTACAAGCAGTGTAAGGGAGGTAATCAAACAGTGTTCTTTAATTTGAATTGGAATACCTCCCTTACACTGCTTTTAAATTGTCTCAATTGTCCTTTAACCAGAAAACCCTTGTTTTTCCCCTTTTTTGCCCCTAATTACTAAATGGTTTGAGCCATAACCCCCCAAAGTCAATCCTAACCATCCCTTTGTTGTATGGAAGTTTGTGGTATAATTTCAGAGAGATTCATACACTTTAACACAAGTTATTGTCTGGAAACTACAAAAATGCTTATTTGGGCCCCTTTTTTGGCCCCTAATTCCTAAACAGTTGGGGCCATAACCCCCAAAATCAATCTCAACCTTCCTTTAGTGGTTATAAACCTTGTGTTAAAATTTTATTGATTTCTATTTACTTATACTAAAGTTATTATCCGGAAACCATCTGTCTTCGGACGACGCAGACGACGCCGGACGACGACGACGACGACGTGATACCAATATACGACCAAAAAATTTTTAGTTTTTGCGGTCGTATAAAAACTGCAAAATTTTGATAAAACTACCAATTCGGTGGCAGCAACTCAACAATGGGTTGTTCGATTCGACTGATAATTTCAGGGCCAATAGATCTTGACCAATTAAACAATTTTACCCCATGTCACATTTGCTCTAAAAGCTTTAGTTTTTGAGATATAAGCAAAAAACTGCATTTGACCCTTATGTTCTATTTTTAGCCATGGCGGCCATGTTTGTCGATGGATACAAAGTTCGGATACAATTTATAAACTAGATACCCTAAGGAACATTTAGTTAAAGTTTGAAAGTATTTGGCCCAGTAGTTTCAGAGGAGAAGATTTTTAAATGTTAGCAAACTTGATGAACAAATTGTGTAAAATTGTCTTTAAAGGGCAATAACTCCTTAAGGGGTCAATTGACAATTATGGTCATATTAACTTTTTTGTAGATCTTACTTTGCTGAACATTATTGCTGCTTACAGTTTATATATATATCTATAATAATATTCAAAATAATAACAAAAAAACTGCAAAATTTTGTTAAAACTACCAATTAGGTGGCAGCAACCCAACAATGGGTTGTTCGATTCGTCTTAAAATTTCAGAGCTGATAGATCTTGACCAATTGAACAATTTTACCCCATTTCAGATTTGCTCTAAAAGTTTTAGTTTTTGAGATATAAGCCAAAAACTGCATTTGACCCCTATGTTCTATTTTTAGCCATGGCGGCCATGTTTGTCGATGGATCAAAACTTCGGATACAATTTATAAACTAGATACCCTAAGGAACATTTAGTTAAAGTTTGAAGGTATTTGGCCCAGTAGTTTCAGAGGAGAAGATTTTTGAAATAGTTTACGACGACAGACGACGACAGACGACAACAGACGACGACGACGACAGACGACGACGGACGCCAAGTGATGACATAAGCTCACATGGGGCCTTCGGGCCCCGGTGAGCTAAAAATAAGGGAGTGAAGGTAACTTTGAGACTATTCGCAATGTTTTCCTAGGGTCTAACGGTTTTGGATTATGGCTTATTCTAGTCTCTATAGGTAGACCCTTTTACCATATAAAGGCTTATGTTAGGAAACTCATTGGATAGACGAGTAGGTTCTAAACAAATGGACCAAATATGTAACCAATAAGAGGAGGTGGACAGGGGAGCGGGAACAAGGAGAAGAGGGAGAGAAAGATAGGGATATTCTGGGATATTTTTTTGACCGATTTTCTTTTGGGAGTAAGAAGGGAGTTAGAGTTGGGGGAGGGAAGTGGGAATCAGGGACTCCCTGTCTATCCCCTCCAATAAGGGAAGGTATGGTCACTTTAACAAACTTTTCGCCATGAAAATGCCTATTTGGGGAAACTACTGGTCCAGTGGTTGACTGAGCAGGTTCCCAAAATTGGACAAAAAAATTGAAAACAACACGTTTAATAATTTCATGCATCCGAAGCGCTTTTCTGGATTTACCTTCATCAGGAACGCTCAAAGCCAAACATTTGAAATCCGAGGATGTATAATACCGAAACAGTTGAAGAGCTATATGACAAAAATACCTAAAACAATGTGTGCAACAAATAAGGGAGGGGTGGTCACTTTGCAATGTGTTCCTAGGGTCAAATTGTATTGGACTAGGGCTTATTCTAGTCCCTATAGTTAAATCTTTTTACCATATCAAGGCATATGTGGAGAAACTCCCGAAGGTAAACTGAGTAGGGTCTCAACATTGGACCAAGTATCTAACAAATAAGGGAGGGGTGGTCACTTCTAGGAGTTCTGAACTAGGGCTTATTCTAGTTCCTATAGATAGACTTTTTTACCATATCAAGGCTAATGTGGAGAAACTCCTGAGCATTCAAAGTCATTAGCTAATTGAAGGAGTTGTCGCACAACTTCCAATCCAATAGAGACTTGTGTAGGTCTGGTGATGAGGATCATATCATTCATTGAAAGTTTCTTTCTATCTGTTATGGTTTTCAAGATAGAAAGCAAAATCTGCAAAAATTGTTGAATTTTGTCTTTCAAGGGCAATAACTCCTAAAATGAGTTACTATACAACTTCCAACCAAAGGAGACTTTTGTAGGCCTGTTGATACATTGTAAGTATGATTGGTGAGTTATGGGTAAGAGATGCCTTTCCCTTTTTTAAAGTTCAATATCACAAAGTGAAAATAGGCTTTTTTGGCAATAAAAACACTTTCACAACAAAATAAAATAGCAGGTGCATATCAACAGCTCATAATAATGTATTTGAGAAAGTTTGGTGTGATTCCTTTGAATAGGTTAAGAGGAGTTGCAGATAAGAGATGCCACCACCTTTTCATTTCATTATCACAAAGTGAAAATGACTTCTTTTTTTTTTTTTAATCTTTCACAGGAAAAAATATTTGGTGCAGCTCAACAGTTCATAATAACATTAATAATATTAATATTAATCATAATAATGTATCTGAGCAAGTTTGGTTTAATTCCTCCCAGTAGTTGAGGAGGAATTGTAGATAAACAGAAATTGTGACAATGATGCAGACGCAAGACTAGGGATAGTGATCCCTATGTGGTGACTCTGCTATGCAGGTGACACAATAAAACCATCAGTGTGTTGACATAAACATGATTTTAAAAGTTCTGCTTATATGCAAAAATTAGTTGGAGAAATCAAAATGTGTATTCACATTGATGCGACACGTAGTGTTTGGCCAATGATTGATTATATACAAAATAAATGTCAATCAGCCATATAATTTATAAGCGGTGCTTAGTAAAATGGAAATTAAACACAAGGAAATTGAAATTCTAACAAGTAAATTACAAGTCTCATTAAAATGGGTGATAAACTATTCTCAATTGTAATACAAGAAGTTTTCCTCTTTATCGATTAATCGATTATAGAACTTTACTCTCTATTATCAGAATCAGTTACCCTTAACCAATCAACTTTCGATTATAATCAATCATCGGCCCAATATTATCTGTCACATTAACAATTATAAACTGATAATTGATTGTATTTTTTTACAGATTGCTCAACAAATAGTTAAAGCTATCCAAATTCATTTTTCACATTACAAATCAAAATTTACAGTACTTGTCATGATAAGTGTCTGGACAACTGGCGAAAATCCACAACACATTTTTGCCTTGCAATGACTTAGTAACTATTATCAATATATTAATCATAATCATCAATTTTAGATTGTTGCTACTCATTTCACAATAAGAACCTGCATGTATATTTTTATATACAATAAAATAATGAGTTTTCTGTGTCATGGGGTAATTTGCAAAAAAAATCTGTCAATGATAAAAAATCGTAAGGGGTTCCTTGGAACCCTGTGTCTCACCCGCTTTCTACAAATCAATCAACAGTAGTCAATGCAATATTTATTTTTTTTTTATAGATCTGCATTATAATGAAAAAATACTGAAATTGTCTGACAAAAACAATTCTGTCAAAACATTTATTAGATATCTTAACAATCTTTGAACCATTCTCTCAAATTATCTATAGATATGGTTGAAAACTGATAATGTCAAATGCTTGTAGTTACAGCCTAATTAAAGAAGGACACAAATTTGTTACAAATCATATTTGTTTTAACTGATGGCTCCAAACAAAAGTGTTTTGTACATAATAAATTTTGGAGTCTTTTTAAAACTTTTTTTCTACAACTATAATGTTATGTACATAACAATTTTGGAGTCTTTTAACACTTTTTTCCACAACTGTAATTACCTCAAATTTCACCAGACTACTTTAAATCATGACTTTTTTAAAACTTTTTTTAAAGTCGGAGTAAAGCATAAAAGGCTTTTTAGCTTTTAGGCGTTTATTTTCTTGTCTAAATGATGGCCTGTAAGTAATTTGCTTTGTTTTATCAAACACTTGTAACTCCTTCAGAATTCTGTGAATCTCACATTTAAAGGCAAAATCTTTTTGAAACTCAGTACTGAGCTTTGGCTTAAAATAGCTATGATTCAGAACCAGCCAAATCTGCAAAACAGCTGATAAGTTGAATTTTACACCAGTTTCATCCCATAAAGGAGATATCTGATGATCACTGCTTAACAAAATATCATTTTCATAATCATACATAACCACAAGGTAATGATGAGGTGTTAACACTATGGATGGAATTAATGTATGACGTTCTCTCTCTCCTGAGGAATCTGTGTTTGCTTCACAAAATGAAAATGTAATAGCTTGGCTTAATATTTGTTCAGCACATTTTTCAAATACCATATTGAGTTTTATTTCACTAATATCTATTGATTTGTTATTCTGCTGCAATAGGTCTTTTGTTAACAAATCATCATCTTCTTGCATCTGAGCTTCAACATCATCTTCAAAAAACCAGAGTGGTATATTTGAAAAATTTGGTGGTACCAACACAATGTCAGGATGTCCATACCAAATGTCTTCGCAGCCTGAAAAAGACAGCATAATAGAATGGAACTAGAAGAAACACTGGCTCCTTAACTTTTTTCATACCTCAAGTTAAAATTAGATGCATACATTTTAGGGGTTCCTACACATGTCCTAGGAGCCTGAATCATTCACCAGAAATAGAACCTCTTCTGAAGTGGCTCTGACAAAACACAGCTTGACTTATTAATTTTCTAAGCAACAGTGGTAACAAATCAGTTGAGAAGATTTAAGAGATTTTAAAGTTAAATTCATGACTTGATTATATCATTGACAGTGACTAATAAATAAAGAAAAAAATTATTTCAGTCAAAATAGTATCAACATATTTTTTTATCTGTAATTTTGTCATATATTTCTTTCTTAAATTGTTTATAAGATAATCCTGCATACTTTTATCATTATTTCAATCAGCCTATATTCATTTAATCTGAAATTCAATGAACTTTATTCATCTGCAGATTATATTTTCAGATTGATCGAAACATAAGGCGAGGTAAGATTTTTTAAGAATTTTAAAGAATTTTTGCATTACTTTCTATTTTTAGTAATGGTGACAGCCATGTTTGAGGGTGGTTGATGTCATCAACCATAATTCTGAAAGAAGATCATAAATGTATCATTTCTAGAAAGGATGTTTACGGGATTTTTTTATTGATTTCTTTTTTATTATTTTTTTAATTTTTAGTAATGCTCATGGCCATGTTTGGTGAAGGTTATCAACCATAATTTGAAAGAATATCACATACGTATCATTTTCACAAACTTAGCCGCAATTGACCATTTAGATTTTTAATTGAATTTTTTGTTGATTTAACCCCCCCCCCCTTTTCCAATTTTCTATTTATAGTAACATTGGCCATGTTGCTCAGTTGGTCATTCATCAGTCACAATTTGGAAATGAGGATTCAGCTCAACTTTGGTTTAAGTTGGCCCAGTGGTTTCAGAGGAGATGATCTTTAAACATGAGTTATGGTAATCTACGATTACAGAGTTTTCCTCGTCTCAACATTGACTCTTTAAAAAGATCCTATGTGACCTAAGTTTGCCTGGATGCCAACCTACTAATTAAGGCACAACTGCACAATCTTATATGATCTAGATATATCTTACAGTACCAGGGATATAGGCTCTGATCATGCTGATGATGTACACTTTAACCAAAGCAAATAAAGTATTAAATATAATTTTGTCTGGGTGCTAACCTTCGCACTTATGTGCATCTATTGGACAGTTTAGAGGATTCTATATATATATTACACCTGGTTTACAAATAGCTCCAAAAAGGCATTTGTCTAATCATCATAAAATGAGTTATCTCTAGAAGACCTGATGAACATCATTTGTTACCAAGTTACAAATCATTTGCACTTTTAGTTTAAGAGCAGATGATTATAAAAGTTCAGCCAATCAGAAATAAGAATTGCAGCAATGGCAGCAATGTTTTTTGCCCAATCAAAAACAAAAAGAGGAGTATTTGGACCTCACAAACATTATTTGTACCAAGTTATAAATCATTTGCACTTGAAATTTAAGAAGGGATGATTTTTAAAGTTTCAGCCAATCAGATACAAGAATTACTCATGGCAGCAATGATTTTTGCCTGATCAAAAAGAAATGAGGAATCTTTGTCTACAGAGGACCTCAAATATCATTTGTACAAAAGTAACAAATCATTTGCACTTGTAGTTTCAGGGGTAATTAAAATAATTATACTTAAAGAAGTGATATTTTTGCAAGAAAATAGCAGTATGATATTTAAACAAGTGATTTTCATGTCATTATCCCAGATTCAGTACAAGGTCATCACTTGAGTAGTCCTATAAACAAATATGTTGGTTCTGATAATTTTAGCAACATAATTAGTCCCTGGATCATTAGTATTATATATTTAAAGCTACATTCTTAATAAAATTAAATCACTTAGTCTCCTGATTTATTTGTACTACTTAAATAGGTTATTAAAGAAAGACAACTCTTACTTCCAACATTTCTGTGAGTGAGACTAGGTGCTTTTAAATGGTAGTATATCCTGCTGTACATGTACATGTAGCACCTGTCGTGTAGGGAAGACACAGACATTGTTTTAATGTGGAAATTGTGGTAGAAATCACAAAACTTAAATATCATTAATCCAAATCTTAACTTTGAGCCAAGGACCATTGTGTTAAAATTTCAAAGGGACATGTACATGCCTAATAGAACTAGGGTTATCATCCCGAAACAAATGTGATGTTGCTGACACGGCCGACGATGCCAACGCCGGACAATGCTTATATAGTGATCTCTATATGTCTTCCTGTTCTATAAGCAGGTGACACAAAATGTTTGATAGTTTGATAGTTATACCTAAGCCTGTTTGTCCATAGTTTATCAGGGAAGCACATTCCAGTGGCTTTAAGCACGGACATTTGGGAGGTTGTACTGCGTAATCATTGCTTATAAGGTATCTGTTGCCATACACTAGACGAGACAGCAAGTGGTTTGTCAAGAGTGCTGCCACATAAGCTTCTTTTTGTTTGTCAAATGCATCTCCAAATGGTTCCTTATGCTTCAAACACTTTTCATGATAATCTGAATTGAAAAATATAAAGCAGTATAAAAATTTAAGATTATAATAAACCAATTATGGAAGTCTCCCAAACAAATGTGAGCAATATCAAACCTTAAACTTAGTTGTAAGTCTTCCAGGGAGGACATGTGTCGCCTGCAAAGTTGTTTTCCTTTGAAAAATTAATTCATCTTAAATATATCATCATTATGAAAAAGAATATAATTCTAAATTTTTTGATGCTCTGTTCCAAACATGCCAAATATCAGGAAGCTGGCCTGTGCAGTTCCTGAGAAAAATGTGACAAAAATTATTTTGTGACAAATTTTTCTATATAAAAAATTCTTAAGGGTTCCGCGGAACCCAGTGTCTCGCCTACTTTTTCTGTTAATCGCAGGCTCAACAAAAATGAGGAAGTAAATCAATAAAAATATTCCTCTTGATACTATCTTTTGATTGTAAGAAGCTTCTGTCCAAGTTTGGTAAAATTCCAGGATAGTTTATGAATCTAATAAATGTTTAAAAACTTTAACTGCAGACTGAATGTAATGTTAACTGAAAGAAAACAAAATTTCCTTCTAGATACTAGCATTTGATCATAAACAAGCTTCTGTCCAAGTTTGGTACAAATCCAAAATAGTATAAGAAAGTTATTAAAATTTTAAAAACTTTAACCACAGAGTGAATATGTTGTTTCCTGGCAGAAAATCTAAGTCCATTTAAAAGTAAAATACGGAAAAAGTGGATTAATTTTTTTACAAAATTTCCTTCTAGATACTAGCTTTTGATCATAAACAAGCTTCTGTCCAAGTTTGGTACAAATCCAAAATAGTATAAGAAAGTTATTAAAATTTTAAAAACTTTAACCACAGAGTGAATGTGTTGTTTCCTGGCAGAAAATCTAAGTCCATTTAAAAGTAAAATAAGGAAAAAATGGATTTATTTTTTTATAAAATTTACTTCTAGATACTATCTTATGATCATAAACAAGCTTCTGTCCAAGTTTGGTACAAACCCAGGATAGTTTAAGAAAGTTATTAAAATTTTAAAAACTTTAACCACAGAGTGAATGAAATATTTACCGGCAGAAAAACTAAGTCCATTTATAAGTAAAATACAGAAAAAATGGAATTTTATTTTTACAAAATTTACTTCTGGATACTATCTTATGATCATAAACAAGCTTCTGTCCAAGTTTGGTAGAAATCCAGGATAGTTTAAGAAAGTTATTAAAATTTCAAAAACTTTAACCACAGAGTGAATATTTGTGGACGCCGACGGAATGTAGGATCGCTATGTCTCGCTTTTTCGACTAAAGTCGAAAGCTCGACAAAAAGAAGTGGACAGGCAGCAGATTAGAAAATGTCTTACAGGATACAGTTCTCCATACTGATGCTCTATGCCAACTATCAGGAAGCTGGCCTATGTGGTTCCTGAGAAAAATGTGACAGAAATTATTTAGTGACAAACTATGGGAATACATATCAAATTGCATCATTCTGGTAAACTCAGATGAGCAATTACAGGCTCCTTTGGTTTTACTCCAGATAAATAGACAAGTTGAAATTGAAATTCATTTGTGAGACTTGTTCATTGTGTTGCCTGAGTTACGCAGAGGCGACATATAGGGATCGATCACTATCCGTCGTCTTGAAACCTTGTCGATGTCACAAAATAATTTCTGTCACATTTTTCTCAAAAACCGCACTGCATCACTCCAGATTGGATTCTTTTGTTGTCTATTTTTGGTTGATTTCCTAATTGTCGGTAATAGTTAAACTTCGAATTTTAAGTGAAATCTAAATCAAGTGATAATCGTGAAAAATATTTGTACAATGTTGAGATAAGTCATCTGTATAATCTGGTCATCCATATTAACTAGTGTTGTTCTGATGATCGAATATAATCAATAATCAGTTGGTTATGCAAACCAACTAGACTAATGGATTGTAAAGTTTCATAATTGGTTCTTCAAAAATTTGTAAAACAAACCTCAAGGTTTATCTTTAAGGTGGTACATATCACTACAGGGAGATAACTCTGTAAAAAATAGCTGAATGTTTTAATCACGTTCTATTGTTAAGGATATATTAAGCTTCTCATGATCAATGATCAAAATTAGTGTTTGTCAAATTGCTATATCCAATGAAATTTTTTCGATGAAGTGTGTGGTTCAAGTTTTTTGAAATTTTGATATTTTTGTCAAAGGGTCAAAGTAAATATTTTGTCAAAATTTTATGAAAATTAAACGAGCTAAATTAATTTTAGTCAAGGTGTTTGGTACCACCTTAATGATTTACATCATCAAAAACAGTTTACTTTGACGGAAGTATGTTTTTATGTGAACAAAAATCACCGATTATATCAGGTATGGGGAGACTTAAGCTTGCTGCTTATGATACAATAAATCTACATAAATTTTGTATTTAATTTTGTGTAAACTTTGAAACAGCCATCTCTTAGCAGCGTCCCTTGGTACTTGTTGCATCGAGGCAACTGTGCTTATATGTTCCTTTATAATTTTTATTTATTTATATCTCCCCTCTTTGTTGTGGGGTGCACCTGAGAACATAAATTCAATCATCAACATATCATGTAAATCTTATTTTGTTCTACTGCACTGGACACGAGGAGACCAAATATGTTCTTGAGCATCGTCCCTTGATGACCCTTGCAGTAAAATGTAGCAAATTACTGTATCATGTATGTACTACATTTGTACTATTATGAATGTTGCTATGTCTATTTTTTTCTTGCTGTATACTTTATATGTAATCATGTATTTTATTTCATGTTTATTATGCCACATGTAGGCCCATAATTGGTAATAAAAGTATCTTATCTTATGTTATAATCAATAAATGATCAATTATACTTGATTGATTATAACCATCAACGATTACAATTTTTAACGAATTTAACAGCACTAATATTAACCTCACATCGGGTTTCGGAATCCCTCGAACACTGAGCACATACAGAGATGGAAAATATGTGGTAACTGTTCTAAACTTGTAATATGAAACAAAACATATATGTGGTCAAAAGAGTTATGGTACAAAAATGTAATCGCTCACCAGCTGAATTACCTGTGACCAGAATGTTTAACTTTAAGAAAATTGTGTTTTCACATACAAAAAAAAACTGTATTAAATATTGAACTCTTTCGGGGCTTTTATATAAAATTTGAGCCCATTTTGCTGCAAACTGAATTTGTTTTTGCCATTAGAAATTTCTATTTTTAGTAATGGTTGTCATTCATGATAGAAGACAGTGCTACCAGATCTAATTTTGAAAGGGACCATCTAAGGCCCATCCATGTCAAGTTTGGTTCCAATTGGCCCATGCCATTAATTTAGAGAAGAAGATTCTTAATTAATTTTTTGTCAAATTAAGCCTAATTTGCATAATCAGCAAAAGTAAAAAAAATTCCGAAAAACTAGCTATACATGAAGCTACAGTTCAAATTTGAGCCCATTTTTCTGAACCAGAAGCTCCCAGGAGGACCATCCCAAGACTCTCCCAGCAAAGTTTGGTCCTAATAATGGTCCAGTAGTTTCAATTATTAAGATTTTTAAGTGATTTTTTGCTGAATTTTCAATTATTAGTAACAGTGGCCATTTTTGAGAAAAATATCATTACTGGAATGCCAAAATTACCAAATGACAACACGCCTCAATAATACTTGCCATTTCAAGTCTAATGAAGTGTCACAACCCCAAGTTTGTATCAGTTCTACTTTTAGTAACGGTTGCCATCTTGGTTGGTGGTTTTGGTCATCGGACATAATTCTGAAAGAGGACCACCCAAGGACCATTCCACCTAAATTTGGTTCCAATAGACCCAGCACTGTTTCAAAGGAAAAGATTTTTAAATGAATTTTCACCATATATTCTATTTTTAGTAATGGTGGTCATCTTGGTTGGTGTTCAGGGTCATCAGACATAATTCTGGAAGAGAACCACCCAAGGACCATTCCACCTTAGTTTCGTTCGAACTGACCTAGCAGTTTCAGAGGAGAAGATTTTTAAATGATTTTTTGCCAAATATTCTATTTTTAGTAATTATAGCCATCTTGGTTGGCATTCAGAATGTTCAGGGTCATCAGACATAATTCTGAAAAAGGACCACCCAAGGACCATTGCACCAAAGTTTGGTTCCAATTGGCGATGCAGTTTCAGAGGAGAAGATTTTTAAAATGATTGTTTGCCATATTTTATATTTTAAGTAACAGCGGCCATCTTTGTTTGTGGTCGGGTCATCGGACAAAAATCTGAAAGAGGACAACCCAAGGACCATTCCACCTAAGTTTGGTTCAAATTGACCTAGTTTCAGAGAAGAAGATTTTTAAATGATCTTTTGGCATATATTCTATTCGAGTAACGGTGGCCATCTTGGTTGGCGGTCTGGGTCATGGGACACACATCTGAAAAGGGACCATCCAAGGACCATTCCACTAAAGTTTGGTTCCAATTGGTCTAGAGGTTTCAGAGGAAAAGATTAAAATGTAAAATGTGGACAGAGGAAAACAACGAAGGACACAAAGTGATGGCAATAGCTCAACTGGTCCTTTTGGCCATTTAAAGAAATTTCTAGTCTTAGTGACAGTGGCAATTTTGGATGGAGGACTGGGCTACTGGATACAATTTTGAAAGGTGTCCACCCATGGACCACCCAAATCAAGTTTGGTTTCAATTGGCCCAGAGGTTTCAGAGATGATTTTACATTGAATTTTTGTCAAAATAAGCCTAATTTGCATATATATATATATATATATATATATTCTGCAAAATCAGCAAAAGTATCAATTTTTTTGGTAAACCATATTATATGTTAAACAAGTGAAACTATGAGGGTGCGATCAACAGTTTTTTTCTATGACGTCATATTTTGAGGGACCATGCATAAGTGACCCTTAGTGGTGGTTTTGTAATTAATAAAGATAGTTGTATAAGGAAGTACACCACTAATTCATGGCCCCATTGCTTTCTATGTTAAATTCCTCAATTTCAAGCAGACACAG